CTTATAATCTTAATATAAATTTTTCAAAATTTGTCAACAATTCAAGGTATGTGCAGTTCACATAACACATAATCAAGAAAGTTGCTAAATTTCTTTTGTTTCAGTTATCTATGATCCTCATCCTACCCTAGCGACGATGTCGGTATCCAGCTAAGTTATAATTTTCCTAAATAAAAAAGTATTTCTGATAGGTACTTCCCTCCACTCACACTTCCCACCCATCCTCCCCAGTGCTCGCGTCTTCTGCCAAACTTCGAAGTGATAGTTTGGCAGTGGTGTGTAGAGGGAGTTACATGCGTTACGTGATAGTAGTGCTCTTCTATTGGTGGAGAGGTGACTCATGATGATTTGCAGGAGAGACGTCTTGGAACTTTGGATTCCAACAGAGGGAGGATGAAGGCTTGTGACATGCATTTCTGAAAAAAAGTTCGCATATAGAGGGCAGCACAAAACAAGAAAAAGCTAATCTTGTGAGCGGAGGGAGAGTACCTTATTGGAAGAAACATTCTTGTTTGTAATTAAGCACAAAGCTACACAATGGGCTATCTGTGCTCTGCCCACCACGGGTACCGAAACCCGGATTCTAGTGTTGTAAAAAATATATTTTTTGATGGTTATGAAGTTTGATGAAGTTATGAAATACATATAATAACTGGAAAACATCTACATATGTTATATCCAAATTTTCACACTTGGGGAATATTAAAATTTGATTTATTATATGTGGTTTGATGTCAAGTTTGTTCATATATCATGATAATTAAGTAGTTTCATTAAGTTTTGAATGTAACTCACTAAAACATCGTGACATATGCAGTTTGTCCCGCCTGCATGCTAAGGGTTAATCATGCATGCACCTACCTAACATGCTATCAGTCACGTAGGCACATTCATGTTTTCTTACAGAACGAGGCAGTCACCAGTTTCCCATATTTCATGCTACTGCCGATTTTCACAGTGAGATTCGCTTATCGACTGAAGTATGAACTCAAAACTACCAGATCAAACATTTATAATTCTGTGAAAAGCAAAGCTGAAATACCAGAGGAGGCATTCAGTCAAAACTACGAAGATGGGACATGTGATAACAGATATTATTCTCAATATATGATATACTATAAACCAGTACCGGTCCTGCCAGTACTGACGGCCTGGTACTGGATGGTGAGTAGTACTGGTACTGGTACTGACTGCAAACCCAGTATTTAACTAAGACACAGTACCATGAGAACTGCATGGTTCTGTTGAATTTACATGTCCGGGAACAGAAATACAATATACGTAACATATTTCACAGTGATATATGAGAATGATTTATTTAGTGGTTGCAGCATGCAGCACACTAAATTCATGTTTATGACATACAATAAGCCCAATGCAGAGTACTGGAGATGAGTCCATGCACCAATGAAAACATCATCATTCAAACTTTCACAGCCAGAAAAATCTGGGTGAGAAAAAAAGTTGAAAAAAAAGTTCAAAACTGTTTAGATGATCACAAAAGAGCACAAATCTTCCTGTTGCAATGGTTAGAAATAAAATAAAAATATCATGCTAAAATATGAACACCAAACACTAAAGAGCAAATAAAGAAGTAGCAATTTTATAGTGCTTCATGTCTATGCAATTGCCGATAAGCTATTCCAGACACAATCTACAATTTCCTAACTTTTACCTTATAGCTTATATAGTCTTGAAATAGGAAGGTCAATATATATGTATTCCAAGTAATATATATGACTGTCAAGCATTTCTGAAAACAACTTAAGTACAGTAATTTCCTAATTTAAAATTTGTATATGAAGAGAACAATCTATCTCTTACTTCTATCAGAATAATTGCATTATGATTTAAAAGAATTCTTAGAATTGTTGAAAGTACTCAGTTAAAAATTTAAGTTACATTTTAGACATGTTAAGCATACAACACTCACTACTAAGTGTTTGTTGAATTGCAGGCTGAAATCCACCTGACGTATTTGAAACGTTTTGAAGATCAAGGATCAACTGTACAACACATTTGGAAACTGTGTCATCTTCAGTTGTATTATGTTGTTTTTCTGATTCATCGTGGATTTCTGCAATGCAAACAAATGTCTTGTATATAATGCATTTTGAAATTATTAAAAAATTAAATATTTGGCTAGACTGTGAGAAAACTTTTTAAAATAAGTTTTAAGTAAGTAATGAAACAAAACTATGGTAAAAGCTATGGAAAACCAAGAATGATAATTTTATCTTGAGGTTAAAAATGTTTATCCTTTAGTCCAACATTTCTCAAACTTTTCGATATCAGGGACCAGCTTGCTGTCTTCCTACTACTACTGTCACAGACTACTAAAATGTAAGCACAATGAAAAACTATTACAAATTGCATATAAATATTCTGTTTGTTTTTGTGAAATCCCAAGAACTAACATGTTGGTTGTGACAGATCGGTGGTCGAGAAACACTGCTATACTTCTCTACTCTCTTTACCACTCTACTACTTTACTTGCAAATCCAGTAATTTGAACATTAATGGCAAAGATAATTAACATATTATAAGAATAACTACAACATTTTTTGAGAAAGTTAAAACCTTTATTTAACAATTTCACAAATGCTCATTATATGATTATGTATACTCACCAAAGGTTTTATAATTCAGGGATTTTTATCCATGTATTTGAAAAGAAATTCATTGTAACCCACTTTAACTAATATTATTGTAGAAGCCAACAGTTATGAATGTAAACACCAAATGAGATACATTAATTAATAAAATAAAAAACTGAAATAGAACATGGTGAAACTTTATCCTTTTTAGACATACTTATTTTTCTGTTTATTTTGTCTGACTATTAAGACTAGAAGAAAATTTGAATCAAACCTAGTAAACAGGTATGTACCATAGTAGTATATCAAATAGCATGCATGAATCAGGATACGAAACAGTTTGGGAGACTTAGCTGAGATAATTAATTAAGAGAGTCTTAAGTCTAAAAAAAAATATTATCAGTTATGCCGAAACATAATGGTGTGAAAAACAAGTTCTAGATTTCTTAACAATGTGAGAATAAGTTTTATATATTTGGATACGGTTCTTAAAGCAAACTGACAGTGATGTAAAAGCTTATGGAAAAATGACAACAGTTAAGTTCAGCAGTCTAGAGACATATTATTGGTATCAAGACTCACTGATCTTCACCTTATCAGATTATTTTGTGATTGTTAATGTTAATAGTCATAGCTTACGGTTATAACTAAACGTACACTGGAAGTGATACTATATCTTAGAATAATTGCAGACATTGAAACATTATTACAGTTCTGCACACTTTGAAACTTACCCCACACACACAAATGCCTCTAACAACTTAAAGACAAATAACAGATGAGTTTGCTTCAATCTGCTCAATTTTAACTACAGATTTATTAGCATGTAATCCAGCATAGATATTTTTATAAAATAAACAAGGAAACAAACCTTAGTGGAAGTCATGACAAAAATTAGACTACAGATCTTCATTTCTGTTAGAAACCATTACATCAACAATTCACTGAGGTCCTTAAGTCCTAACAACCCTACCTTATAGCCCTGGATGCTGTTTTACTTGCACATGTAGTGCTCTTTAACACAGTCTAATTAATCTTTCAAGTTTAAGATCAAACCCAAGATGTAGTTTGGACTGATAAAGGGAAAAGCACTGCCAATGTAATCATCCTTAAATCCATATTTGTTTTAGACTGAAACTCAATGTAAAAAATCAACATTGCATTCTGAGAAAAGAAAATTGCAATAAAAGTTGTAATTATCAAGAGATTAATTTTAGTACGAGTATATTTATTCAAGAATAAATATTTCAAATCTGTAATCAATTTAATGCAAATTTCTTGCTTATCAGCTAGAATAATTACATTAACATACAGCACATTTTATTAAGCTTGTTATAATTGGGTATTTACCTTTTTATTCAGTGTTGTTTGTTTGATAAAACAGTATGTCACTGCACATGGTTAGCTTTACAAATCATGTTTTAGTTCTGATTTGCATATAAAAGTTCATAATAAATTTCATATTGGATGGATGGATTGATTTTTACTTTTATTCTTTTCAAGACCACAATCTTTATTTAAAACTTTAATAAGTGTTTCCACCTTGTTTTGCCTATATTTCATACACTATACTTTTGGTGCAAATAGAAAACTAATAATAATAATAATAATAGTACTAAATAATTTTTCAAACGTGGGTAATTATTAATATATATATATATATATATAAAGTCCAATATTTATTTAAGTACTGAAAGTATATT